ACATAAAACTCGTTATAAAATCGTATAATTAACACTAATTAAACGTAAAATGGACATGACGACAAAATTATGATTATATATATATAAAATTCAGTATATAATAAAAGTCAGTTATTTTGGTCCTAGTTACACATCATCTTCCTGTCCTTAGCCTTATTATTTGAGGTCGATTATTCTTAGTTACACATTAAAAAAACTATATATTTTTTTGTACATTATCGATCCTATTTCAATCTCGATTTAGCAACTATCAGTGCCATCTGACGGGATGTAACTGAAGCCACAAAGGCTATGACAGTTACCTGAAGCGCAATTATCATCCTTTATGAGGTGCACGTCAATCGAACAGGGAACCTTTGATAGTATGATATAAAATCAAGCTTCAATGACAGTATCTACTTTGCTATTGTAAAATGAGAATTGAATTAATCTTGTATTCAGACGAACTAATGCATTTACTACTAAATTGTATTAAATTATAAATCCTTACTGACGTAACGTAAACGTGAAAATGAGTTTCTTTGTAACGTTTTGGTGCATTAACAGCTCAACATATGTGTCACCAAATTTAGCACGTAGCATTACAAATCAGGAAGTATTATTTTTCACCTCGGTAAATCAACATTTCTCAATAATGTGGATAAAGTAACGGATAAAAGTTAGTAATAATATATAAATAACGTACAGGTAAAAGTCGGTTTATTGATGGAGGTAAGTATAAAAGTGAGAAACAGTGAAAAGTTTATAAAATATAAAGAAATCTCGACGGATGGATACAGGTATACTCATACAGGTTATAAGATAGTTCAGAATTGAGTGAACACATAATTTATTTATTCATTTTACTTAATTAATATAAAAAGTACTATCGTATCTATTCCTTTCTCAAGCGAACAACTCCATGTTATACTCCTATTTTAAGTTTGCATCGAAGGTTTGATAAAAAATTCTATATTAGCATTAAGTTCGCCTTTTGTACTATAACATTCATGCCATATCGTGTTAAAATAAATTTACCTTTTACACTGTCTAGGTAAATAATATTAGTAATAGTAAATAATTAAATAGAATAAAATAATAATATAGTTTATACAATAAATCCGTATCAATATTATAACTGTAAAAGTTTGTTTGTTATATCTTGTCACCTTAACGGCTTAACTAATTACTATTCAATTTGCATGTATTATTCTATCTACTTACCCTCTATCTATTGCAATATTAATGTACTATCTGAGATGGAGAAGGACATAAGCTACTTTTTATCTCGGTCAGTGAATATATTCCGGTCTCGTAGACAAAGTCGAAGTGTAAAGCTTGTAAAGGATAAATAAAGATTGATAGGACATTAGGATGTATTGTTTTATAATATCAAGATACAATATATATCCAATTCTTTGAAGGTACGCTGTAGCTAAAGTAATGAGCGCTACTGATATTGTGCCCAACAAGCAGCAGCCCCTCAGCTCGACTCGCCCTATAAATTGGTTTCATGCATATTTATTTATTCAAATATGTATGAATTGAAATCTCGACTACTCAAATATGGCGCCGGACGAAAATTGAATCAACAGGCCGTATTTGACATGAGTTATAGTGCTTGAATAAAGAGCTCTAAAGAACTGTCTGTTTGATCTTTAAATTGCAACACGTAAATATTTGTACTATTAATCGCGAAAGGTACTAAGAAAAAAGAGAGATTGGCTTACAAAATTTTTATTATGAAATTCTTTACTATAATATCTTTCTCATAGTTCAAACCCCTTACTTATAAATCTTTTCACGCAAAGTCTTCGATCATCAATATTACTAGATGTTCGATCAAAGCGATAAAAATGCCTCGCTTTTAGAGTTACTTTGAAGTGATTTAAATAAACAATTTATCATTTGATATCATGGTATTTTCATGGTTCTGATGTTTGATGTTATAGTCCTCGGTAATTATTAAGTGACAAGACTTTTATGAAGGGGTAAATTAATGATATTTATTACCCAATATTAAATATTGTGTTTATTATAATGTGGACCATTATTTTGTAAAAGAATCTTAAAATGGGCTCCTATTTTCTGTGTAAAAGCTGTTAGAAGTAACTTAATACCACAGTGTAAACAAAATGTGTGCTGTTTATAGACTCCGATGCTAAAATATATATTTTCTCCTTTATTTTTCACACACGTATAATAATTTAGAGAAGCTAGTGGGTATTATAATGAGTGGAGTTATGCAATGGCGCGCTCTAATCTTGTTTAGTGTGATAAAGCACGTGCAATGCTTGTATTATGTGTATTTTATATAAATTAATTTTTAATTCACCCAGTAACCATTTTTAATAATTAGCCTTTTTATATAAAAATAACAAAATATCTATGAAGGATTTTTGTTTTTTAAGGATGTCATGTCTCAAAATAGGCTCTGGGCTCTGGCCTTTTTTATTGTGGCATATCAATGACAAATCAAAAAATATATTTTACATATACGCCACCAGTACTTTATAAGACTACGAACATTTAGAACTAAAAGAGGGGAATCTTATGTAAAAATTTCACGAACAATAACAAATGTAGTACTTATTCATATTAAAGAAAATATATTTATAATATGTCGTATAGAGAACAAAACAGTATTTTCCAAGAAGTGACTGACTTTAAATACAATACATATATAGCAAAGTATATATACATAGCAATAACATAGCATAGTATTCTATCCATATTAATGTATAAACATATAACACAGAAATGAGATTTCAATTTTTTTATCTAACCATGATTTTTCATATGTCGTGAGAGGCAAATAAAGACCGGCGTAAGGGACGAAAAGCTCGAGTTATATTAAAGCGCATGCCCAGGACAGTAATAGTAGGCTAATTTCCTTCTCTAATGCAAAATAAACTCAATCCCAGTAGTAGAACTTAATCAGTTGATCGTCCAGTAAAATCGCTATGGATAAATAAAAAATAATATTATAAATTAGCTACTAATTAAGTATTATAAACACTCGGAACTTGAATTACCTACGAAATAATGCGTTCGGCAATTGAAATGTTAGACCCGGCGAACGTTCACAGATAATAAATGAAGCAAACGTTCCGAAGCTTGAAACTAATTAAAGTCGTCGGTACGAATCAATACTTATAAATTAAGACGGTTTAACTTGCAAAGGTAATTGGGCAAAAGTTCATTTCAAATATTGATACTGCTGTGACGTCGCCGTTTCTACGGAGAAATTTATCCGTTAAGTTACATTTACATTAATCGTTTAAGAATGTTTATTTGAAGTTTGTTGCATTTTCTATTTTTTTTTTTCTATTATTTTGCAGCTTTAAGCAGAATAATCAGTTTACCTGTTTCTAGTTTTAAAATATAAATATAACAAAACAACAATATAAATAAAATAGAAGGGATTAAATAAAACTGCTATTAATTTCCACTTTTGCACCATGTAGGTGTAATTAAAATAATATATATTAGTGTTAGTTCTATATATTTAAATGCTTTTAGGTATTCAATCCTACTGATTTTATAAATGAAAATGTTTATAAGGACGTTTGGATGTTTGTTACTTAATCACGCTTAAACAGCTGAATGAATTTGGTAATGGCTAGGTCGTATTCTAAACTTAATAAAGAGGACACTTTAAATACTGATTCAAGCGGGCATAGCTGCGGGTAAAAGCTAGTTACATATAAGATGCAAATTAGAATATATATTCTTATATAAATTGCTGTCTTTCTATTTTATATAACATCAAATATTGGTAAAACTATAAAAAAATGTAATAATATCTATAAAAAAGATCTAATATTTATATAACTCCGAAAACTGATGTGGACGCGTCTTCATAGTCCCGACTTTCAAAGTTACCTTATATTCTTTCGCTTACTTTATATTATTTAGCTTTGATATATTCGCAATTTAAGTTGCCTGAAACTCGACGAAGAGGCGGCTGGATTAAATTACATATTTTTTTTTCTTACTTACCAACGAAAGCAAACGACTTTATACTGTAAACAGAACGTTCAAGAGAGGGTAGAAATAAAATTCAAAGTAAAAAGATCGAAAAATATTTTCGCTTCGGATTAGTGAAGTCCGAATTTGTGTTTCTTGTAAACTGACTTTAAAATACAAAGTTTGTGTTGATAATTATTGGACATTAAAGACATTTTATGTATATTATACCGGGAATTATTTCAGCCGTTAACTGTCCACTGCTGAACATAAGCCTTCCCCATAAGGGGAGTTTTGCCAGTAGTTGCCATGCTTGGCAGGATTGCTAACGAGACATACATATTTATAAATATAATAAGCCTTGTCATGGTTGACTGGCTGATCAATCAATCTAATCTACTAGTAGACTAAACCGTAGTGGTTAGAGAGTTTAAATGTTGAATTATAGATTCCAAGAAAAAGGATTTCCTAAAATTATACTTGCGTTATATTAACATGTGTCATTAAATGACAGAAGCGTATATTTAAATAAGGCTTTATATAGAGAAACTGGTTCCAATCGGAACAATTACTGGGTTTTCTTCTAATTAAACACAATCTTTGTTTTAAAGGTTTCATCACAATGAAAAAGATTAGATTCAGCCATGAAGCACTTCATGGAATTGGAAAATCTCTAAAGGTAAAGAGGTAAAGAGAATTTATGTTTTTTATTTTCTTTTTTCAAAAATACAGTGTCTTCAATTGGGAAAATTTTAATGACCCCAAATGTGTGTATGTGCAGACATACATTTATGGTTACTATATATGGTGTGGATAAAGGTATCTCGAGAGCAATGTTTAGTGATGGTTAATTAATAGCTGAAATGATGATTAGGATAACTCAATTTAAATTTATAATATATAGTTAATGAACAAAATACGACTATAATTATAATTAAATAATAAAAATATAACAATGAAATAAACAATTTGTATTTAAATTACGTTACGTTAGCACTATTATTGAAGTTAATTGTAACTGAGAACAAGTAAAAAGGAAATTTTTTCACTACCTTAATTCCAATGTGAATAGGGAAGTCCGAGGCCAATGCTGGTTGCGGATGCAGTGCCGGCAACAGCGGCAGTGGTAGGGGACAGGACATCATAGTTGCGCCAACCTAGAACAAGAAAGAATTTAATTAAAACATTCATGAAAAAAAAAAAAACTTAGTATCGTCATTTAATTGGGTTCCTTTGTGTTATCTGTATTCTAGCGTTAATCTTTAGCGTCCTAGCATAACGTTACACACATACTAATGGTAACGGAATTAAACAAAATAATCGTAATCAAATAACCAAAATGTTATCATGAACGGTAGTAAAATTACTGGGTACGTTTAGTCCCGCACGAGTATTGTAAGGGTTATGATGGCCGTTTATTATCAGGCGGACTCCATAAAAAATATTTATAACTGACTCGACAGATGTTTTGCCCTGAAAAAGCCGCGTATAACAGGGTACGCTTCTTATCATTTTTTTTCTTATATTTCTCATAAAAAAAATTATTTATATATATTATATTTTACTTTCCATATGGTGCATACCATTTGTACATACGTAAAACCCAACGTAACATTAACATGTTGTATCATTTACTTAGATACCTATATCACTTAGCCGATTAGACCAATCGACCGTATCGATAAAAATAGATATACGATCGAATACGTCGCGAACAATTTAGTTAGCGATGTATTCGAAAAGCCCGGATAAACTCTGTAGATATGGCTCTCTAATATTCCGTATGGACCGGTACGCCCGCTGAAAACGTTATGAATAATATATACGAGTGAATGCAGGGCCGGTCGTGGGAGATCAGTCGGCATTACGTACCGTGACAAATATAACAGAGAGAGGAGCATGTTGAAATTTATTTAATTTCATATTTCGTTATGCGATGTGAGATATTCGACTTGTCGACGGTGCGGTTGTGGGTTTTAAGTGATCATATTCATATCCGAGGCCTTGTAATGTATGTGTTACTTGTGGATTTTCAAACACAAATTTCAATATTTCTAATTGATTTATTATTTATTCAAAATTTACTCTTAACATCATTAATATAAGTAGTTAATTATCTTCAAAACTTACATATAAGTACTCGTGTACTTGTAAAATTATAAATATTAGATTGAAAAAAAAAATTCTATAATTAATGTTTTATATCACTGATAAAAGCACTTTTACATTATTATTTCTAAACAAAACATTTAATTTGTGTTTTCTTAACATTAAACTATAATTTTTATATACATATTTTTAACAAAATAAAGAATCTATGTTAGCAATATTTCATTTTAAAAATTACCCGATATTTTAGTGTATTTTTTCTACTAAATTCATTTGCCTATTCGTTTCTAATAATTTTCAGCTATTCTTCAATTGATTATATAAAAAGGAACTAGTGTAAAATAAACATTTGGAATAGCCCTAAATGGCGAAACCGGTAAGGTATTTATTATAACCCCTTTTAACACTTTCACACTGTTCTTTTGATTATAAATATTGATATCAATATTTTTTTTTAATTTGCTCTTAAGCTCAAAAAAGTCTTTCGTCTATTATAATAAACTAAAAAACGACGGTACTATACTATATATAAGAATAACTTTCTCCAAAGTAAATCGAAGGTTTGAGTGCAAAACTGTATTCTGAAAACTAGCGCAGTCACACGTCTATACGAAAGATACAAAATTGATTTCACAACCATATCTGTAATATGCATAAAAATATTTTAATTTTATAGTTTACACAACACACACACGCAACTTACCACATTGTTCCGTTCATTTACATTTTATATGTGACATTTCATACCGACATTTTTTTTTAAAGTAAAACGCAGCAGTATCAACGCGTAAAGAGTACAATGCGTCTACACTGTAATTGTGTACGTACTTATTAGTGCAACTTAAAAACTGGACTTATATTTTATCTGAATCGGTCGAGCGAATCATAAGATACTCCATTTTATGGGGCCACGTTGAATGCAAAGGTCATCGTTAATGAATAATTATGTCTTAATCTTTATTATTAATCTTACAAATAATAGGGTAACATCTTCACGAGAATCAAGTAAGATTCTCGTGAAGATGTTAAATATATATCAAATCTGTGGACCAAATTGTAAATTTGGCTTGCAAAACTACATATTTCACAGTATTTAATAACATGTACAGTACATATTACTCAGAAGTACTGATCTCCCCTGATGTTTGTGAAACTGCAGCAAGTCGTCGTCATAGAATAATTAGTTTGATTCCAATGGAAACTAGTAACGTACAAATGAAGCCAGTAATTCATTTAAGGTGATCGGGAAAAAAATAAAAAAAAAAAACATATGAGAGAACCGTCCGTTCTATAACCTATAGGACATATTATGTAGAAATTGTTTATGTTTGCCTTAAACAATATGTTATATACAAATTTTAATTACAACATTAATTTAAACATAATAGAATAATATAATAGTTTATATTAATTGGATACTACAGCCTTAAGGGCTGATACAGTGGAGAAACGTATTTTTAATAAATTAATTAATGTTCAAACGAATTTAAAATAAATTAAGGTTCTCTATTGTATTTTTATTTTAGTATATCTTTATCAATTATGAATAAAATTTTAAGATTCTTTATGCTAAGGGTTGACTTCAATAGTTCCATACAAATTTATTACAAGACACCACCATGTATTCGACAGTTTAGGTCCCAGAATTAACACATTGCGATACACTGTATTCGCGAGTTTGGATCGGAAAGGATACAAAGTTTTAATCGAACGCCAGCGGAACAAACACGGGCGCACCCACGGGACTCCTTGTTACAATAAATTAATTAAACTAAATATGATTATTTAATAACCGGCATCAATTAATTGCGCAGTATGGGGCGTGCCCCCTTGAGGTAGGGATGACCTCAAGTGTTCGGGATCGTACTTTATGGCGAGATATGAGGATGGATAGCCTCTCCTTACACAAGTATTTACAAAAGCAGCTCAACTTTATTTAAAACAACGTGCTTATAATACTGCCATTAGTTTTAATAAAACTGATTGTGTAACAACCACAAACATCCAAACGTCTTTAGAAACCTTTACATTTATATTATTAGTAGGAATAGTAAGAATATTACAAATGATATATTTTTATTAAATCATTTATTTATCATACAACAAAAAAAAATTGTTATTGCGTTCTTAGCACGCACTGCGGTTAACCGAGCTAGGTATTAATCAAATTTTTTTTTACATATGGCCTTAATAAAGTGGTTACTTTAAAAACGCGACAAGTTACATTTTTATCGCAATTCTAAACCGAACATAGGATAAAAAAATTATCTTATGCTCTGCCACTTGCAGGCTCAACGTTGATTTTCCATAAAGTACTAGAAGAGCCAAACCATATAGACGTTTCCGTCAAAAAAATTCATTTTTAAATTAAAAGCGAAGATCCAAGATTCCAAAACCGCTAGCGTTTAATCGCTGCACTAATCCTTACAAATGCAACTGTAATAAGAGTAAATTGTAAATACATCAGAACCGTGTGAGTTACGACTTAGCGCATTTTACAATTTCCATTCCGTTCTAATGTGAAACACCAGGATTTATCGAAACGTACAAATATTTGATTACAGCAGTTTACGGTACTGCTGTCTGATCGAATTCTTCATTTTTATTCATGCACCACAAATAAATAGTTATTTATCTCCGCTTCGGTCGTGCTTACTCGTAATTTTTAAAATCCTTTTTTAATAGAACTTTTCTCTTTATAAACCTAACGTTTAAGGGGTAAATTTTTTTTTGGTATTTTATTTGGTATTTACTACTAAAGAGATACCACACGGTCACACAGTTGGCCCTCCGGCCATCCATGTAGTACAATTTCACCATAATGGCTATTAGCAATCTAGCAACTAGATCCCATTATCAGCAATCCACTCTCCACTAGGATTGTTGTATGTGCTATATTTTTTTTTCACGCACAACGGCCCAAATGAGAGGCTAAGTGCGGAAAACAGAGTCTTTCTTACATGTGCTATATTTAATTTATAGCTTTATGGGCATAAGTGAGGCGCAGACAAATAAACAGACAGACGACCTTTATCATCTGAGTTATGTATATAAAGTAGCAATTTAATGAAACAGTTGAGTCGGCATCTCCGTTAGTCGCTTGCGACATAGTTCACTAATCCCATTAATTATAATTACGTATTCATTAACGTAATTAACGGAGTTAGGTAACTGTCATAATATTAAAACTTCGGCTTCGGAATAGTTGAGCGGTTTTGTATTATTAAACTAGCTTAATATTGTACCTACTAATTTCTACTGAACATGATACAATCTATTTTTATAATAATAGCGCAAGAAGAGTATTAATGTATCGTTTTTCATTATGTAGATATTCTTTTTAATAAGTTTCTCAAAGGAGATTATCAATTCAGCCGTATTTTTTTCTATAGGTGTATGTTCTGCATTATATTTAAATCCTGTGACCCAATTTTTATGTTTTTTTTTCTACGAAAAAGGTTCACTTATGAAAATATACATAATATGTAATACTTTTGGTAACCCAAAATTATGAAAAATTTTACCTTGATATTCAAATCCATACACAGCCCAATCCGATGAGATTTGAATCCGAGTCTTTCAGGACACGAGTTCCCAGTTACACCACAGAAGGAATACTATAAGTTAAGAAAATTCTCAAGCAACAAAAGAATGGATTCACTCGTGTGTAAGATCCGTAGTTACTAAATTTGCCAACTCTATGTTTTTGTCTTGAATTACAATCTACTAGATTTTACCCGCGATTTTGTCCACGTGACTGGGGTATATTGATTGACTAAATAAAATAATTTTAAATAATATTCTTCATCCCAAATACTATGAGAATGATTACATATTGACATATAATAATAAAAATGCATGGTAAAATTGGAATCATAACTGTTCTATAGGCGAAACTGAATACTTTCACCAAAGGAACATGGGTCGAAAAACAAAAATTTTCAGCCTTCCATACTAACACAGCGCTGTCAGCTGTTAATATTGGTGTCTTGAAATTTTTATTATTTGTTGATATGTCCTAATCCTAATATGTATGGGGTAGATTCTA